CTTGGAATGGGAAAACATCCAAACAAAATATAAGGTCCAGAAATCAAAAAAATCCACTGTATTAAGAGGATTGAAAATGAAAGTGAAGTCTGCTGTACCAGCTGTCACTTACACGCCTCTAAAATTTGGGAGAGAATTATATATAGACTGATTGAGCTGCTGCAGTTCTTCCATAGCTGTGTTCGCCCTGAAGAATTGGAGTTCACAAAATATTAATTTGAACTTAAGCTATGATACCAAATGTTATGATAATAATAACTATCTAAAGTCCTTACAAATATCCAAAAAAAAACATAATCAAAAGGTGAACATTCGAAATCCTAGCATATTTTGTGGAGTTCACCTCGTTCGGATTTGACCCGTCTCTTCGTCAATGCATTCCATGAGAATCTGGAAGATCTTCTGAAATAACGCTTGAGCGTGGCGAATTCTTTCCTCAGGGCTTGCATCTTCATTTTGTGAAGTGGTTTCAATCTAGTAACATGATTAATACAGTAACATGTACACTACAACTGTGAAAAATAACCTTACCAACTCTCTGATCCTTGCCCTGAATTCGGACTTACTCTCTTTCTGGAAGTAAGATTTACTTTAGTGCAATACAATGTAACATTGTATAAGAAGAATGAATCAGAAAATACAGTGTACTTCTCCCAGCTATGTACGTTGGATGCTTCAAATTTGGCTCGATCAACCAAATTTTAGCAGCGGCGTAGCGCACACAGGGTACAGCATCATAATGTGTGAAGTGGCGGTGTCAATACTACCTCCCCCCCCACCTCCTGGTGAAGGATCCTGGTACAACCCCCCCCCCCCTCCTCTTCCCGACACTGTTTGCTCTGACGAAAAGTATTATACGTAACGACTCGCAAGCGCTTGCGGCCGCGTTATGATTCCATGGCAAATTAGCGGTGGAGCAGATCTGTTGGCCGGGTGGAAATCGCGGGGCTTTTTCTGAGGGTATAGCTTTTTGGGTGTGGGGCTTTTGAGAAACTGAAGGTGGCATGTCGGAGCGATCTCTTCCACTGTTGCTTCTTCTACCTACTCGAAATCAAATCTTGCCTCGTTCGTGAAATATTTCGGATGGGTTGCGGACGCGTTAGTGGTAAATCGCGAGCGGGTTTTTATGCTTCAGACGAGAATAACTTCTTTCAAACGCAATCTTTTGCAAAACTAAAAACGCATCAGAACGCCCAATATATTTCCCTTTCAAAAGCTCTTCAATTTTGCTGAAGTCGCGCTAGTTCAGAAAATATTTTAGATAGGTCACCCATCTGAAATACAAATAGCCACTAAAAAGCTCGACTCTTCCCATGCCATTGTAAGGATATTCATTCGCGAACTTCAATATGCCTTCAGAACACATATTCCCGTTGAACTGAGTCAAAGCATAATTTGGTTATCATCGATCGATTTGGTCCGAGTGTGCGCCGTGCATTACGCTTCTACGCAGAGGTGGTGGAAAGGTGTAACTTCATTTTAGGTGATTTTTGTCCATGCAAG